TTCTCCTTGGGGACTGTAGGTTTAAAAGCCGTATTTCCCGCCCTTTGCAATTTAGGCTGCAGATTGCTGCATTTTGCAATTCCTGCAAAATGGACCTTGCAGTGATGCGGCCGAGCTGGGATATTACAATCTCCCTTGTGCGGGTGGGGAAGTCTGAGACCTATAACCCCCTGTGTATTTGGGGGGACCCCTGAGAGGATGACTCATGTCGAAAGATGGAGAGTCAAAAAAGCATTCTGAATGTTACGCTGAAAAAGATCATTTCACTTTTAGTAACCAAGAAAACCCCCGAAACACCAGTATCTCCACCTTGAGGGTTAACGTTCCGTTATTGTGTCTTTTAGTCACTTATAAAAACACTTCTTAAAAGAAATAAACAGCAAGGAGAGGAAAAAGGGAAGTCCCTGCCCCGGAGGCTCACCACACAGAAAATAAACATCCTGAAAACAGCACTGAAGGGTGAGATGATCAGAACATTACCTGCGAACACGCTTTGCAAATTAAAACACACATAACACACACACACACACACACACACACACATATATATAACATTCCTCCTCTCTTTAAATTTCAACTGTGATTTTAGCATGCCTCAACTAAGTGTGATATAAAAGAGGAAACATCTTGATGTAATGTTTATCGGGAAGCATCCCTGGAAACCTGCTCACTAGAGGGGGAGTTGTGTATAGGAAACAACAACAATATTAGCAACTGTAGCATTTCTGTGTTTGGTAACCCTATTCCCTACATGCCTGCTTTGGTTCCTACTTGTTACTCTTTGAGTATCAACTAAGCTTTTTCTAAAACAAAAATCTCAGCCTGATAGTTGTAATAATTGTTTGTGTTTCTATTGTGGGGGATCCTTGGTGCTGTCTGAATTGAGTTGCTTTTTTGCAGATGTTTCATTATCCAACCAGGTAATGTCATAATCATCAGCAAATCTCACGGCTTTCTAGCGCTGATGATATAACCTAGTTGGGTAAAGAAATGTCTACAAGTTCAGAGAGCACCAGGGACACCACAGTCATTCCCCCCCCCCATCCTCCTCTGCAAAACCCATACCTTCTAACACTGATGGTGTTGCCTAGTTGGGTCATGAAATGTCTGCAAGGAAACCACCAAGCTGAGAGAGCACCAAGGACCACACAGTCCTCCCTTCCTCCTCCTCCTCTCCTGCCCTCTAGCAAACCCTCCTCCCTTCTGGCACTGATGATGTTCCCTAGTTGGGTCATGAAACGTCTGCAAGAAAACCGCCAAGCTGAGAGAGCACCAAGGACCCCACAGTCCTCCTCCTCCTCTCCTGCCCTCTAGCAAACCCTCCTCCCTTCTGGCACTGATGAGGTTATCTAGTTGGGTCATGAAACGTCTGCAAGAAAACCGCCAAGCTCAGAGAGCACCGAGGAACCCACAATCCTCCTTCTCCAAGCACTGATGATGTTACTTAGTTGGGTCATGAAATGTCTGCAAGAAAACCACCAAGCTCAGAGAGCACCAAGGACCCCACAATTCAAATAGGTCTCTTCACTTGTATTTAGAATGTCCGTCTTCATGCTTTTTCCTAAAATGTCTGGGCAAAACACTATGATTTCCCTTTGACAATGCCTTCATTCCTTAATCCTCTCTCTCTCTCTCCAATAAATCTACACGCCAAAGCATCATACGGCAGATTCATTTACATCCAACCAACAACCATGACAAAAAATAATCACATTGTTAAGGTTTTGATCTGAAAGTTTTGATTTTAGAAAAGGCTTCCCTCCGAACAAAGGGGGAAAGGACAGACACAACACTGCTTCTAAAATGGCAATGACAAAAGTGCAGCAGCCATAACTCAATACAGACAGTACCCAGGGATAACAGGTGGTGGCTATCCAAGAACATCTGGAGAACGATAGATCTCCCCCGCACCCCCGCTCTCTGCAAAATAATGGAGAGAAAGATGGACAACCCACTCCCCCCTCCACAGGCAAGCAACCTAAATATTTATAGAGTGAAAAAGAACTGAAAAAAAAACGGGAGACAAAAAAGAGAGAGCGAGAGAATGAGAGAGGGAGAGAGAGAGAGAGATGGAGAGGGACAATGAGGAAGAGAGGGAGCGAGAGAGATGGAGAGAACGAGGAAGAGAGAGAGTTGAAGAGAGGATGAGAGATAGAGAATGAGAGAGTATGAGAAAGAGCGAGAGAAAGAGATGAGAGGGAGAATGAGGAAGAGAGGGAGAGAGAAAAAGGAAGAGAGGGAGAGAGAGTTGAAGAGAGAGGATGAGAGACAGAGAATGAGATAGAGAATGAGAAAGAGAGAATGAGAAAGGAGAGAGAGAGAGAGAGCGGGCGCGCAAGAGAGCAGGTATTTAGACTTTCTCTATGAAATTTCTATTTTAACCTCTCAGTTCTTAAAAAGCAAGGCATGAATTGGTTTCTTTTGGGTGGGGGGGGGGGACCTTAGATACTGAAGAAACAGAGGTGTTGTTTGTTTTTTTACACTTTCTGTCTTCCAACAATGGCCCAGGGTTACAGGTATAGAAGATAAATCATTCTGCTAATTTTAGCAAAGTTATGTCCCTGCAGCAGAGGTTGGAGACTGCCTGCTTACATGGCAAAACATCTGCCAGAGGCCTGAATTATGGAACTCTCAGAGTCGCAAGAAGCTGGTGGGCGCGTTTCGTCAAGTTGTTCAGTTCTGGAATTAAAACACACCTGGATTTTCTGATGTTTTTTATGCGCAACTAATCATCGCAGGACCCGCTCATATCCTGGCAAAAGCTTCCAAGCTGTATTTTAAAGCATCCACAAAGGCATGGGTTCAAAACCGCTACCCAAATAAGCCGTGCTATGAAAAGGAATATAAATATCTGATTTAAAAAAAAAAGGATATATTCTCCTGCAGCTACTTTTGTTATCTAAATATATTTGGAATCTAACTTTATTTTGTAGGACTGAAATTCAAAGGAACTAGACGGTTTAAGAGAGCATGAGATCAAGCCCCCTCTGGCTCCATTCTCAATCTTTACCATGGGAACATTAAATTTCGAAAGCATTTTGCAGGGCTTTTGAAAAACATTTTAAGCCTGCAAAGAAGGCATTAGATAGATTACTTTGACAGGGATAAATCGGCGAGTACTGAAAGTAGGGAGAGAGAGAGAGAAATTCTATCCGATCCGAAGCCCAGGTTTGCAAAGACATGAAGATTTTGGGGAGGCCAGAATCAACAAAGGTCAAATCCTGAAGGTGAACCAATGTCACCTGGGAGAACAGGCAGAATGGAGTTTTTAAACATCACCACACACACACGCGCACATACTCAGCTTCCTGCCTTCACTGACCTTCAAAACACGTTTATTGAAATGCGGGCGTTGGGAATCTATTGTCCCCAGGATAAATGATCTGTATCTCTAACCAATTATCACACACCCCCCCCAAAAAAAAACCCTTTTCTTGCAACTGATACACCTGTCTTCTTTACACTTCGTTTCTCCTCTTACCATTCCTACCGGCTCTGGTTACATCCCTGAACTACCTTGCCAGCGAGGCCGACAAGTTTATGCATTTAGAAAACCAACACACTGCAGCCTGAGAAGCGTCATCACTTGTCAATAATTATGAGGAGAGCAGGGCACGCACAGAGTTTATCATCGAAAGAAAAGCAGAATATAAATTGAATAGAGAAAGGTTATCTTTGGGCTTCAGACAGTTGCTGAAGTGTCTCCTCCCCCCCCCCCCAATCTGGACGGACGATTCAGAGTCCACTGGAAATCAGACCACTGGCAAAGGCCACTACCAACCCTTTCTGATCAATGTCTATGGAAATTTGTTTCCTATTATCAGTTGATCGCTTATTAGTAACCTTGACTTTCACTCAACATTGTATCTTTTATTCTTGATCAACATATTTTATTCTCCTTATGTACACTGAGGCATATGCACCAAAGACAAATTCCTTGTGTGTCCAATCACACTTGGCCAATAAAGAATTCTAATTCTCAGTCATCCAGGTCACGGTGATTCCAAAGGTGCTTTTTCAAGAGGAAAAACTGGAAATCTTTGTTTTTCCTTGAGGGACCTTTTGCTTCTCATCCAAGAAGCTTCTTCAGTTCTCAGAAGCGAATGGTCTTCAAGGAAAAAAACAAAGATGTCTTTCTGATCAACAAATCCTGATAAATTGCCCAGATCCAGGGCTACGTAACATAAGGGTTAAAAGCCTGAGCTACAAATCAGAGAATTTGTCAATTTAAATCTCAACTTTCTCCTGAACCCTGCAGATAAATCAGCATTTTTCTGAGGTGCTGGTACTGTATCCCACAATATTGGGAGAATACCAACCACACCACACCATATTATAAGGACTGCCACAAGATAAACGTGGGGGCAAGCATGCTTCACCCCCCCCTCCAAGCCCCTTGGTTGGGTTACTCTTGAAATTTGCAAAGCTGGATTGCGAGCCAGTCTAAATCAGAACACAGAACTAGCATAGCACAACATCGAGTGGGTTTTTAACTCAGGGCAAGGGGAGGAGGGAAACAGGTAGTTCTCGACTTAGGACAGTTCATTTAGTGATTGTTCAAAGTTACGACAGCCTGGAAAAAAGTGACATGGCCGTTTTTCACACTTACAACCGTTGCAGTATCCCCAGAATTCAGACGCTTGGAAACTGACGCACATTTATGACTGGTGTAGCATCCTGGTGTGTGGGGGTGGGTGGGTGTGATCCCCTTTTGCGACCTGCTGACCAGCGAAGTGAATGGGGAATCCAGATTAACAACCGTGTGACTAACTTTAACCACTGCAGCGTTTCGCTTTAACGGCTGCGGCCAAGAAAAATGGAGCCAAAGCAACTTCAGAAAAGTTTCTCACTTAGCAACAAAGAGTCTGGGCTCAGTTAATGGTCGTTAAGTTGAGGACAACCTGTATTGAAAAAAGGGGGAAGAGAGAAACCAAAACCCAGTCCCGTGTCAATGGAAAAAAAGAAAATATGGATAGGATTAAAACCCAAGCGCGACTCACCTGCTTCGCAGATCCTGGATCGTTCTTCTCCTCACCCATCTTTCCAACTTTCTGCACCCTCCTGGGCTGCTTAATAGTGGTTTTTATGGCAGGGCGACAGACATAATTTTCCAAGTTCTTGGGGGGTTTCTTAGTTCTCTTAGCCTGGAGGCCAATTTTCAGTTTTAAATTCCCTTCGGAAAAGTTTGTCTCCTTCACAGAAAACTGGTGCTGGGCATCCGGCAGGCTCCCCTCTTTCCCCGCCTCATCGCTGGCGCTCTTCTCCCGGCTCCGCCTCTTCTCCTCCTCTTCCTCCTTGGCGCTACCATCGACCTCCGCTTCTCGCCTAACTCCCGTGGCGCCCGCAGAGGGGCTCTTCCCAGAAAACCCTTCAGAACCAGAGCCCAACCCTAACATAGCAGTACGCTGAGGGTCCATCCCAATTATGTGCCGTGGCAAAATGTCTCCTCTTAAAAGATGGCAGGCCGGTGGTCTGTAGGGGGCTCTTCCTGGACGTTGGTGGCCAACATCTTCTCACTGTGAACAGAAAGACAGGGGAGAGAATGATTTCCCTTCCTTGGACACAGGTTCAGAATTACGTCAGGGCAGAGCTGAGGGGTAAAAAATAATAATAATTGGAGTCAAGGCTTAGGTCCACTCCAGTTGTGCAAATACAAAACGGTATTTAGCTTTGTCGTTTATGAAAATTAAAAAGGAAACACTTTAAAGAGAAACACAAGCATTAAAAAAATGCTTCAAGCCAAACATTTTTCTCGAAATATCCTTTGAGGAGGAGGGAGATTTGTCTTGTACAAATCTATTTTTCATGGATTTCACGCAAATTTTTCGGTTGCGCATGCCGCCTCTGGACGAGAAGGGCGGCACATAAATCCAAACAAATAATCTTTACATCTAGCTGATTGGCTTCTCTTAAAGACTTTTTGATAAACGAATGAAGGCAAATATATCATTTGATTCAAACAGGTATATATTTTTTAAACTGCAATAAATTACGCCACTGGGAATATCAATCTTGCTACTGGTTTGGTCCTCCAGCATTGCTTCTCCTTGACCACACAAGGATGGCTCCAGTCTCTAAAAGCCTTCTGGCTGCACACCCGATTCAAAACCGATGAGCGGCTCTCCCTGTTTCTCCTCCGTTCCCAATGGCTGAAATTCTGGGAAAATTTAGCCCTAATTTATCTATTTACCACATGTATTTGCTGCCCATCTCGCGGTTTCTGGAGAGCCACCATCCCTAAGATTGAGGCTGCTTCTAATCGTCTATCAACAAGAGATAACAGTGGTTAAATTTTAAGAACGTGTCAAAGAGGGAACTCCCAACTAATAGGATGCCTAGGAAAAGAGGTAATCATAACCTTGGAATCCCCCAAACTGGCCAAAATGGTTTTTCCATTCTCTCAAAAAGAGATTACAGAAATACCCTTCCCTCCCTGCAAAAAAAAATCCCTCAATCAAGCTCTGAACAAGTCAAAAAGTGATGGGTAGCAAGACTAATAAGTATTTAGATCTAAGATTGATGGGGAAAAAAGGGATGAAAGTTATCACACAAGGAAAACAAGGAGAATCCTTATTATCTGAGGATAATAACAACAAAGCCAAAGTGCTTAGCTATAAACATTTTGTTTCAGGGAAAAACAGAAGGAAAACTTCCACTAGATGAGAAAAAAAGTCACCTATGGATACCAGCCTTGATAAGGTATATCGTTTTCCCGAAAATAAGCCCTCCCTGGATAATAAGTCCAATTGGGCTTTTGAGCGCATGCGCTTCCATAAGCCCTCCCTGAAAATATTGCAACACAGCAGCAGCCATGAGGTGACCCCGCTTGCCACCTCCTGCACCTCAAAAATAATAAGACCTCCCCAAAAATAAGGCCAAGCGCTTATTTCGGGGGTCAAAAGAAAATAAGACCCTGTCTTATTTTTGGAGAAACACGGTATTTTATTCATATAATGACATGACAATCCTGCTCTTCCTTCTGTCTGTAGGATATATGATGTTGGATGTATTTTAAATCTTATATCACACTCCTTTTCTTCTCTTTTTCACGTAATCCAAATTGACCAGCAAAATGGTCCGGGGGAGCTTGCGCATTGTGGCATACAACAACAAAAATTATTAACTATCTTTATAAAACTGTCTGCGCAGGACCTGCGAAGGAATTGCACTCCAGGGCAGTTCTACGAACAGGTTAACCTGATTATCAAGAATTTCTTTCGCCATCTGGGAGCCAAAGGCTACATTTAAATAAAAAATTAGCATGCAAAGCACATGTAATCTGTCATGTGTGATGATCTATTATGGTGCATGGACACGCTGGGAAACAGTGATTGGCTGAGAGTTTTCCAACATTTGTATATCAAACAAAGCACGTGTGTGTTTATGCATGAGTGTGGGTGCACATCACACAATCTGTGCTACTTCCCACAAATGAAATATGTCTTATGCTGAATATATGGCAATACTAAGGTAATTTCAAGGAATTAGTCTTCAGCTTGTTAAGTACAGCTCATGCTGGGAGCACCCAGCAATAATTCTTGGAAATCAAGTTTATTTAGTAACCCTCCATAAAAAGTTTACAACTCTGGAAATTTGTGGTCAGGAGTTTCACACACATTTTACAAAGTTCAGCCATTAAGTTCAGCCATCTGAATTTCCATCATATTGATGACCCAAAAAACCTCTTTATAAATAGATATCTAAAACCAGAAGTCTACACACACAGACATGTAGTTAAACAAACAAGCATAGAGACACACATCACAATTAAGAAGAGGAAGACTTTGACACCCAAATCAAGAATTCTGGAACTGTGCCACAAATTCCAGTATAAACGGTGAGGACACAAGAATCTGACAGCACAAAATCTCAATAGCAGGGAACCCCACATGTTCAGTGTGTAAATTCCCCTATTGCAATGTATCCCCCATCTGCCCCTGCACACTAGTAAAAAACAAAACATGTGCAAGAGTGTAAACAAATATCCCAAATGGGAAGTGTGAGACTGCAACCGACTGAATCAACCACCCCAATATGACGTAAGCCTCCTCAAAATGCCAATATGTGTTTTGTTGGTGCGCCCCCCTTCTCAAAATCCTTTGCCAAAATAGGAAGACTCTCCCCCCCCCCTAACTAGAGAGCAAGCAAGCGTCTTAGATGGAGGTGGAATGGGGGTATCGTGCCTGCAGGTGTATAGCTTATACAATCATGCATTTATGAGATACCCTCATATATCATTGGAAGTACACACGGGTGCATATATGTGTGGCAAGCGTAATACCCCTCCATAAAAGTGTGCATATGTATGCACACCCATAATATATCCCCTATAACTGTGCATACAGTCCGAAAAGGCTCACACATAACACTCAGATAAATATGTGCACATGTATAATATACTTTCCCCCATAAATGGCTGCACCTAGACTTAATAAAAGTATGCACGCATATCTAACACATAGTAAAAGTGTGCTGACATAATACACACACAGAGACACACACCTCCCATAGACTCCTATGTGCAAGCACATCTAATAGACACTCAGATAAACGTGTGCTCACACAATACACACACACCATACAACACCCTCCCATTAATGGGTGAGTACATAAACCTAACAGATGAAGGTGCCTGCCCGCACACCCCCACATGTAAATATAATACATATATTGATAGACATAATAATGTGTTCACACAATACACACACATACACCTCACCCCACACACAAAAGATACACACACTTCTAACAGGCTCACACAAACGTGCACTCCCCCATAAATGGTGTGCACACAAACACACACAGAGCTAATAGACTCAGATGAAGGTGTGCACTAATACACACTCAAGATAAATTTCAGCACAGATACCCAAATACTCAATGCACATACACCCACACACCCTCAATGAGCACATTCCCAAAGGAGGTGTCCTCCTGTAATACACAACCTGCACACTTCCATGTACCCCTCCCACCCCCCATGAATGTGTGCACACACTCAGGATACTCCCCCATAAACGTTGTGCATACACACTCACACAGAGCTAATAGACTCAGACGATGCATGCACACCTAATGCACACCTAATACACACTCAGATTTCAACACACACACAGCTAATAGACAATACATACACCTAATACACACCTAATACAAACTCAAATTTCAGCACACACAAATAGCTAATAGACAATACATACACACATAATACACACTCAGATTTCAGCACACACAAAAAACATCTAATAGACAATATATACACCTAATACACACCTAATACACACTCACATTTCAGCACACACCAAAAACAGCTAATAGACAAAACATACACATCTAATACACATTCAAATTTCAGCACAGAAAAACAGCTAATAGACAATATATGCACACCTGATACACACACAGATTTCAGCACACACAAAAACAGCTAATAGACAATATATGCACACCTAATACACACTCAAATTTCAGCACACACACAAACAGCTAATAGACAATACATACACATTTGATACACACTCAGATTTCAGCACACACACAAACAGCTAATAGACAATATATACACACCTGATACACACTCAGATTTCAGCCCACACACAAACAGCTAATAGACAATATATACACACCTGATACACACTCAGATTTTAGCGGGCACACACACACGCAGCTAAGACTCAGAGGAAGGTGTGTGCACGCACCCCTAATACACACTCAAGATAAATTTCAGCACACAAATACTCAATGCACATATCGATACACACACATAACCTCCCTGCACACACATCCCCAAAGGAGGTGTGTTCCCGTAATACAAACCCTGCACACCCCCATGTACCCCTCCTACCCGCTATGAACGTGTGCACACACACACACGGAGACCTCCCAGGCTCAGATGCAAAGTGTGCACACGCACACCAACACAGGCAGAGGATGGCACCTCAGCCCCGACCTTTGAAGACTCCCGCTAGCAAAACCTGGGCAAAGCCAGCACTCGCCACATACCCCCTTCGCCCCCACCCCAAAAAGGGGATCTCCACCCCCCGAAGCCTCGGCCTAGGCGAGCGGGTCTTCCCTTCCCCCTCCTCTCCTTCCCGGCTTCGGGAAAGTCTGGGAAAACCCCGCCTCGGCCTAGCTGTCAGGGCGGTGGCACGGAACCCCCCCCTCTCCTTCCCCCCCCCCGTTCTTTCCCTCACTCCTCTCCCGCCCTCCCTCCACCTCTCCGCCGCCTCGCACTCACCGTATCGCGGCCAGGCCGCCGCCTGATCCCGAAGGGCTGCTGCTACTGCTGCTGTTGCTGCTGCTGCTGCTTTTGGCTCGGGGCGAAGCCCGGGAGGCGAAGGGCGGCCTCGGCCTGGCTTCCTTCTCGCTCGCCCCCTCACTCCTGAGGGGCGGCCGCGGATCCAAAATGGCGGCGGCGAGCGGCAGCGGCGCTCTTTCGCCTCAGCGCGCGCGCATGCGCGCTCCTGCCTCGCGCTCGAGCGCGCCCCTGGCCACGCCCACGCCTCCTTTAAAAAAAAAAACACACCAATCTTTCCCTCCTCCTCCTCCCTCCTCCCCCCTCCCCCAGCGCTTGGATGCCTCCCTAGTTCTGAGAGACAGACAGACAAGACAGACAGAGAGGAGAGAGACGCGGCCCTCCGCCAATCAACGCCGGACAGGCCCGCCCTCTCCTCAAGGCCGCCCGCCAATCAACGTGGAGGGAGAGGAAGGGGGGGGGAATAAAAAAAAAAAGATTCGGACGGAGGAAGAATGTCCCTCGCCGGGACCCGTCGGCCGAACGCGGAGACGCCGTTGGGCTGAGGCGCGCGGCGGGTTAAGATGGCGGCGCCCAGCACGATGAAAATCTCCTGAGGGAAACGGCGGGCGATTTTATGTTTTTAAACCCTTCCCGGCGGTTTTGCGCGCCGGTTGGCTTTCTTTTCTCTTAGGGAGGAAGATATATCTCGTTTTTGGCGAAAGGCGGGGACGGCTAAGCCTTTTTGGGGAGCTGTTTTGCTTTTATTCCCCATTGAGTGCGAGGTTTGTGAGGCGAGGGGCGGGGGACTCAGGGTTAGACACCGCCGGTCGTTTCTCTTCATATAACGTTTTGGGACGATCGAGCGAGGAGCGGAAGTGTTATCCTTCGCCCAAGGGCTTGTTCTCTCCAATCGAGCCTACCTTGCAGGGTTGTTGTGCAGCCTTTCCCGACTGTGGGGGGAAGGGTCCCCAAATGGGGGCAGGAAGCTTTCTGTAATTGTAATGGTTACGAAGAGGAGAGGCTTTTTTCTGAATTTAAAATGTATTCCTTTAAAATATAGACGCTTTAAATTTCCTGCATAAATAATAATAAGAAGAAAC